AGGCTTACAGGACTTGATAGTTGTATACTATCAAGCGTACAAACATAATGAGAGTCTCAATGGGAAAACAAAGAGAGAATGGGGTAAAAAGAATATTTGAAGAAAAAAATGCCTAAAAGCTTGCCTCATTTTATGAAAAACATTAATTTACTCATTGATAAAGCTCAGTGAACTCCAAATAGCATATACTCAAAGAGATCTACACATAGACTCATTATAATCAAACTGCAAAAGTCAAAGACAAAAAGAGAATCTTGTAAACATGCAAAAAGCAAATTTATTATATATAAAAGACCCTCAATAAGATTAACAGCTGGTTTCTTAACAGAAACTATGGAGGCCAGAAAATATTGAGATGATATTTTTGAAAGAAAAAAACCGTTGACCATGTTTTTATATCTAGTCAAACTTCATAGAGAAAGGAGAAATTAAGAAATTCCCAGGTAAACAAAAACTGACAGAGTTTGTCACTAGCAGGCCTACCTCAAAAGAAATACTAAAGGCAGCCCTTCTGGCTTAAATAAAAGGATACCAGACAGTAACTTGAATCCACAATAAACAGAACACCAGAAAAGCAATTACACAAATGAAGGTAAAGTATGAATGTATTTTCTGTTTTCAACCTGATTCAAAAGACAACTTCATAATGCAATAAATTTAAGGAAGGGCACATAATATATAAAGATTTAATTTATGAAAATAACAGCGAAATAGGAGGAGAGAAATGAAGCCATATATGAGCCAAGTTTTTATATCCTATTTAAATTTAGTTGATATTAAAACAAATCAATTTTTTTAATACATTAAGATATTAATAGTAATCCTTAGGACAATCCCTAAGAACATAATTCAAAAATATGTAGTTAAAAAAAAAACAAGAAACCCTAAACGATACACTATAAAATATTTGTTTAACACAGATGTAGACAACAGTGAAGGAACTGATGAACAAAAAAGAAAGACATGTAGAAAACAAATAACAAAATGGCACCTGAAAATCCTATGATGTCAGTAATTAAACTTTAATGGATTAAAATTTCTAATTAAAAGTCAGATAATAAATGGTCCTGGAAAAACTAGATATCCACATGCAGAAGAATAAAGCTAGACTCCTATCTTTCATTATACACAAAAATCAATTCAAAATGGATTAAAGATTTAAATATAAGACCCCAAATCCTAAAATTACTGGAAGGAAACATTGGCAATGCGCTTCGTGACATTGGTATGGACATAGAATTTTTGGATAAGACAGTGAAGCGTGATGGCTCATGCCTGCAATCCCAGCACTTTGGGAGGTTGAGATGGGAAGATCACTTGAGATTAGGAGTTCACATCCAGCCTGGGCATAGTGAGATTCTCTGTCCACAAACAATTTAAAAATTAGCTAGATGTGGTGGCATGTGCCTGTAGTCCCAGCCCAGCTTAAGTAGGAGTTGGGTGGGAGGTGGTTGGAGCTAATATGGGAAGATAGCTTGAGCCCAGGAGGTCAAGGCTGCAGTGAGCCATGATTGCATCACTGTGCTCCAGCCTGGGCAACAAAACAAGACCCTGTCTCAAAAACACCAAAATAAAAATAAAAAACAGAAAATAAAATAATTTTGGATAAGACCTTAAATGCACAGGCAATAAAAATAAAATAAAAATAGACAAACAGGATTCTGTCAAATAAAAATCTTCTGCAGAGTAAGGGAAACAATCAATAAAGTGAGGAGACAACCTACAGAATAGGCTAAAATTGCGCATCTGACGTATATTCTAATGTTGAAAATATGTAAGGAGCTCAAATAATTCAATAGCAAAACAATAAAATAATTCAATTTAAAAATGACCAATAGGTCTGAATAGATATTTCTCAAAAGGAGACAGAGAAATGGCCAACAAGTACATGAAGAAAATGCTCAACAAAACTAATCATCAGGGAAATGCAAATCAAAACTGCAATGAGATATCCCCTCTCCCCATTTAGAATGGCCACTATCAAGAAGACAAAAAATAACAAATGCTTGTATGAATGTGAAGAAAGGGGAATAGTACACACTGCTGGTGGGAATGTAAATTGGTATAGCTACTATGGAAAATAGTATGATGTTTCCACAAAAGAATTAAAAGTAGAAATATAAAATCCAGCAGTCTCTCTATTGAATATTTATCTAAAGGAAATGAATTCAGTACGTTGAAGTAGGCATTCTTATGTTTATTGAAGCATTATTTACAATAGCCAAGTTACGGAATCAACCTAAGTGTCCATCAATTGATGAATGAATAAAGAAAATGTATATATACACAATGGGCTACTATTCAGCCATTAAATGAAGGAAATCCTGTCATTCATGGCAACATAGATAAACCTGGAGGACATTATGTGAAGTAAAATAAGCCAGACACAGAAAGACAAAAACTGAGTAACCTCACTCATAAATGGAATCTAAAGAAATTGATCTCACTGAAGTAGAGAGTAAAAGATTGGTTACCAGATGCTGGGGAGAGTAACAGGAAGGGGAATATGGAGAGATTGTCAATGTGTACAAAGTTACAGTTAGAGAAGAGGAATAAGTTCTGATGTTCTATTGCACAGGAGGGTAACTATGGTTGACAATTTTTTATTATACATTCCAAAATAGCTAGAAGAGAGGATTTTGAATGTTCTGATCACAGAGAATGATAAAATGTATGAGATGGTGGCTATGCTAAATGCCCTGATTTAATTATTACATGATGCATATGTGTATCAAAACATTGCACTGTACCCCCACAAATTTGTACAATTATTATGTCAATTAAAATAAAAAAAGAAATTTTAAAGGCAGAAATTGGTAGAATGAATATTTTAAAATTAACAAAGCATATATGTACCTAAGGACAAAGCCTCAAATACACAAAGCAAAATCTGACAGGTTGGAAGGAACACACACAATTCAACTGTAATAGTTGGACACTTCAGTCCCTCACTTTCAATAACACATAGACCAACTAGGCAGATCAGCAAGGAAATAGAACATTTGAACAACACTATTAACTAACTAGAACTAACAGACATCTAGAGAGGACTGCAGCCAACCACAGCAGAATACACACTCTTCTCAAATGCATATAAAACATTTTCCAGGCTAGATCATAAGTTAGGATGACTATAAAACAAGTGTTTAAAAGGGCTGAGGTCAAAGTATATGTTACAGCCCCAATGAAACAAAATTAGTAATTAATAATAGAAGGTTATTTGGGAAATTCAACAACATACTCCTAAATAACCAAGAGGTTAAAGAAGAAATCACAAGGCTATTTAGAAATGCTTTCAGATGAACAAAATGAAAACACAACAAATAAAAACTTAACGGAATGTAGTGAAAGTAGTTCCTATAAGACAACTTCTGACTGTAAACTCAGATTGCTCAAATCAGCAACCTCATCTTCCACCTTAACACACTAGAAAAAGAAGAATAAACTAAATCCAAAGCCCGTACACAAAAATAATGAGCATTAGAATAGAAATTAAAAAAAAAAAGAATAGAAAAAATAGAGAAAATTCACAAAACCAAGTTGGTTGTCTAAAAAGATCAAGAAAATTGATAAGCTTTTAGCTAGAATGGCCAATTAAAAATAAATCATGTTAGTAAAATTAGGAATAAGAGATGTTACTACTGAGTTTACATAAGTAAAAAGGAATATAAGAGAAGGCTATGAAAAAATTGATTCGGTTAGTAATTTTTAAAAAATGCATTTGACAATACCTGGCAGTCTTTCAGAACGAAAACCCTTGGAAAACTAAGAATGAAAAGGAACTTTCTCAACCTGATAAAGAGGACCTACAAAAAACCCACAGTTAAATTATAGTTAGTAATTTAAGTATATAAAATGATATAAAACTATTTTACTATAGTTAGTAAAATCTTTCCCCTTAAAATGAGCAACCAGTACAAAGAATCTACTCTCACTTTTATTCAACATTGTACTGGAAGTTTTAGTCAGGGCAATTAGGGAAGAAAAAAGAAACAAAAGGCATCCAAATTGGGAAGAAAGAAGTAAAACTCTCTCTTTTTGCAAATGACACAATTTGATACAAAGAAAACCATAAAGAATTCACCAAAAACTATTAGAGCTAATAGATGAGTTCCACAAGTTTGGAAGAAACAAGATTAATATATAAAGTTAATTATATTTCTATACATTAGAAATGAATAATTTGAAAATAAGGCTAAGAAAACAATTCCAGGCCAGGCATGGTGGTTCGCACCTGTAACCTCAGCACTTTGGGAGAGTGAGGTGGGAGGATTGCTTGAGGCCAGGAGTTTGAGAACAGTCATAGTCAGACCCCATCGCAACAAAAAATAGAAAAATTTGCCAGATGTGGTATTGACCGCCTGTAGTCTCAGCGATTTCCGAGGATGAGGTGGAAGGATTGCTAGAGTCCATGAATTTGAGGCTGCAATGAACCATCATCATGGTATTGCACTCCAGCTCAAGTGACAGACTAAGATCTTGTCAAAAGAAAAAGAGGACAAGAGGGGAGTGAAGGGGAGGGGAGGGAAAAGGAGGGGATGGGAGGGGAGGGAGAAGAGAAAAGGGGAGGGGAAGGGAGGGAAAGGAAAGGATAGGAGAGTAGAGGGGAAGGGAGGGAAAAGAAGGAACAGGGAAGGGAAAGAAAGGGATGGGAGGGCAAGGGAGGGAAAAGGAGGGAAAGGAAAGGAAAAGGAAGGGAGAAGGGGAGGGGAGGGGAGGGAGAAGGGGAGGGGAAGGAAGGGGAAGGGAAGGGAATGATTCCATTTGTAATACATAATAAAATAAGATACTTAGGCATCATTTTAACTGTGGAGTTGTAAGACTCATACATCTCATACACTAACAACTACAAAATATTGAAATACTGTAAGAAATATAAGACCTGAGAAGCTGTGAGGACCCGGAGCACGCAGACCTCTCCGTCTTAACGCACATCTGGGTGTCTGCAGCACTCTCCGCTTCTCTCCCGGGCGACGAGACTCGGCGGTTAGAAATCCACCATGTCTATTCTCAAGATCCATGCCAGGAGATCTTTGACTCTCGTGGGAATCCCACTGTTGAGGTTGATCTCTTCACTGCAAAAGGTCTCTTCAGAGCTGCTGTGCCCAGTGGTGCTTCAACTGGTATCTATGAGGCCCTAGAGCTCCGGGACAATGATAAGACTCGCTATATGGGGAAGGGTGTCTCAAAGGCTGTTGAGCACATCAATAAAACTATTGCGCCTGCCCTGGTTAGCAAGAAACTGAATGTCACAGAACAAGAGAAGATTGACAAACTGATGATCGAGATGGATGGAACAGAAAATAAATCTAAGTTTGGTTCAAATGCCATTCTGGGGGTGTCCCTCGCTGTCTGCAAAGCCGGTGCTGTTGAGAAGGGGGTCCCTCTGTACCGCCACATTGCTGACTTGGCTGGCAACTCCGAAGTCATCCTGCCAGTGCCGGCATTCAACGTCATCAATGGTGGTTCCCATGCTGGTAACAAGCTGGCCATGCAAGAGTTCATGATCCTCCCAGTGGGTGCTGCAAACTTCAGGGAAGCCATGCGCATTGGAGCGGAGGTTTACCACAACCTGAAGAATGTCATCAAGGAGAAATATGGGAAAGATGCCACCAATGTGGGCGATGAAGGCGGATTTGCTCCCAACATCCTGGAGAATAAGGAAGGTAAAGGCGCCGCACCGGCTCCCTTGGCGGCGGCGGGGGGGCATCATCCACACCTGCCTTTGTGGGAAAGGTGTTCTTTCCACCTGTAGTTAGTAAGGATCAAGACCCTCCAAAAGGGTTTTAAGGAGAAAAAGGAAAGCTTCATTTTTTAATTTTGTTTCATTTTTCTTTTTTTGAAATGGAGTCTCGCTCTGTCGCCCAGGCTGGAGTGCAGTGGTGCGATCTCGGCTCACTGCAGCCTCCGCCTTCTGGACTCAAGCAGTACCTAATAGCTTGAGGAGCCAAGTGTCTGTGTCTGTCCTACTGGCAGGGCAGCTCAGCTGCGGACGGCACAGCCCAGCCTGGCGGCAGGGTCCTGCCACCCAGGGCTGCCCTTCACTGAGCTTTCTCTTAGGTCCCGCTTCAGCTCTGTTGAAGGTGTGTGCCTCAAGACAGCTGATCTCAGCTCATTACTGTAACTGTATCTTGGCCAGGACAGCTGTTCCTGGGCACTAAATTTGGGAGCATTTATCAGTGGGAAAGGCTGCCTTCTTGGAAGCTGTACTGAATTTCCCACATAGTATACACCAAGAGCTCTGACCCATGGTTTCTTGCCCCAAAGCAGGAAAAAAAAAAAAGTAACTGACATTGTCAGAACTACTGGCTGGAGCCTGAACACCTCTTGATCTTTGTGTTACAGTCCCTGTGTAGCAGCTGTTGAAGGGAAGTTTTCTCTCTATCTGCCTGTTTTCCAAACCTGTTGCTGCCATCTCTTCCCAGGCCTGGAGCTGCTGAAGACAGCAATTGGGAAAGCTGGCTACACCGATAAGGTGGTCATCNTTTGACCAGGATGACTGGGGAGCATGGCAGAAGTTCACAGCCAGTGCAGGAATCCAGGTGGTTGGGGATGATCTCACAGTGACCAACCCGAAGAGGATTGCCAAGGCTGCAAATGAGAAGTCCTGCAACTGCCTCCTACTCAAAGTGAACCAGATTGGCTCCGTGACCGAGTCCCTGCAGGCGTGCAAGTTGGCTCAGGCCAATGGTTGGGGCGTCATGGTGTCTCATCGTTCCGGGGAGACTGAAGATACCTTCATCGCCGACCTGGTGGTGGGACTGTGCACTGGGCAGATCAAGACTGGTGCCCCTTGCCGATCTGAGCGCTTGGCCAAGTACAACCAGCTCCTCAGAATTGAAGAGGAGCTGGGCAGCAAGGCTAAGTTTGCTGGCAGGAACTTCAGAAACCCCATGGCCAAGTAAGCGGTGGGCAGGCCAGCCCTTCAGTCGCCTGTTGGCTGATTAGACTCCCCCCCTCGTGTCAGCTCGGGCAGCTCCAGGCCCCCCGACCAACACTTGCAGGGGCCCCTGCTAGTTAGCTCCCCTCGCCCACCACCGTGGGGTTCGCACTGCTTCCTTAGAACTTCTACAGAAGCCCAGCTCCCCGGAGCCCTCGTGGCAGCCCTAGCTTTGCAGTCGTGTAATTGGCCCAAATCGTGGTTTTTCTCGCCTCACTTTCCACCAAGTGTCTGGAGCAATATGAACCTCCAGTGTCGTCTCCGGGGTGGCCACAGGCAAGATCCCCAGTGGTTTTGTGCTCAAAAAAAAAGGCATCAGTGAACCATGAAAAAAAAAAAAAAAAGAAATATAAGACCTAAATAAATGGAAAGACATTTATGTTCCTGTAAGACTTAAAATTATTAAGATGCCAAAACTTTACAAATTAATATACAGATTCAATGCATTCTCTGTCAAAATTCCAACTGCTTCTTTTTTCAGAAATGGATAAGCTAATTTTAATATTCATATGGAATTGAAAAAAAAAAAAAACTTGAAAAAGTAAAACAGGCCAAGCATGGTGGCTCACTCCTGTAACTGCAGCACTTTGGGAGGCCAAGGCAGGAAGGTTGCTTGCATCCAGGGGTTTAAGTCCAGCCTGAGCAACATAGCAAGACCCTGTCTCTACAAAAAATTTAAAAAAATAACCAGGCATGGTGGCATGTGCTTATAGTCCCAGCTACTGACGAGGCTGATTGGGAGAATCATTTGAGCCTGAGGTCGAGGGTACAGTGAGCTGTCATCATGTCATTGCACTCAGCCTGGGTGATAGAGTGAGACACTGTCTCGAAAATAAATAAATTAACTAAAAAGTAAAACAAAGTTGGAAGACTCACCACTTACAATTTCAAAACCTACTCCTAATTTACAGTAATTAAGACAGTGTGCCAATGGCATAAGAATAGACGTATCGATCAATTTGATAGAACTGAGAGCCAGAAATGGATCCATACATCTGTGGTCAATTGATTTTTGATAAAGATACCAAAAACATTCAATGGAGAAAGAATATTATTTTCAACAAATGGCAATAAGACGATTAAGTATCTGCATGAAAAAGAAATTTGGACCACTACCTCACATCATATATGGAAAATAGATCAAAAGGCATCAAAGACCTAAATTTAAGATCTAAAACAATAAAGATGAAAACATAGATGTAAATCTTTGTAACCTTGGATTAGGCAACAGTTTCTTAGATATGACAACAAAAGCACAAGCAACCAAAAAAAAAAAAATAGATGTTTAGACTTCAACAAAATTTAAAACTTTTGTGCATCAAAGGACACAATCAAGAAAAGGAAGAGATAATACACAAAATGTCAGAAAACATCTGCTAATCATATCTCTGATAAGGATTTGGTATCCAGAATGTCTAAAAATCTTTTACAACTCAACAATAAAAAGAAATAAAATAAATTTCAAAATGAACAAACGACATGAATAAACACTTCTTAAATGGCCAAAAAGTATGAAAAGTTGCGCGATATCATTTGTCCTTAGGAAATGCTAATCAAAAACCACAAGATACCACATTGCATTCACGAACATAGTCACTTATAAAATAAACAAAACCACCAGAAGATAACAAGCATTAGCAAGAATACAGCAAAATTAAAGTCCTGATACTCTGAGAATGTAGAATGGCGCTGCCACTATGAAAAACAGTTTGTTGGTTCCTCAAAAGAATAAACAATTACCATATGATCCAGCAACTCTACTCTTGATCTATAACTAAGGGGATTGGAAACATATGCTCATACAAAAATTTATACATGACATTCAGAGAAACATTTATGGAAAGCAAAAAATGGAAACCATTGAATGTTCATCAACTGATGAGTGGAAAAATAACTATGGTATAGCCATACAATGAAATATTATTCAGCCATAAAAATGAAGCATTGATATGTGTTATAATAGATAAACACTGAAACATGCCAAGTGAAAGAAGTCAGACGCAAAATGTCACATATGGTGTCATATAATTCTATTTATTTGAAATTTCAAGAATAAACAAATCCATAGAGACAAAAGTCAATTATTGGTTGCCAGGAGTTGCTGGGAGGAGAGTGGGAGGACTGCAAACAGGTGTGGAGTTTCATTTTGGGGCAACGAAAATGTTCTGGACCTAGATAGCAGTGACGATAGCACAATCTTGTGAATATACTAAAACCACCAAACTGTATACTTAAAAATGGTAAATTTTATGGTTTGTGAATTGTATTTCAATTAAAATGAATAAGTGTATGAAAACAATGAATCACAAATTTAAATGTAAGATGTAAAACTATGAAACTTTTTTTTGAGACAGTTTTGTTCTTTTTGCCCAGCCTAGAGTACAATGGCTCAGTCTTGGCTCACTGCAACCTCTGACTCCGGGGTTCAAGTAATTCTCCTGCCTCAGTCTCCTAAGTAGCTGGGATTGCAGGCCACCGTACCCAGCTAATTTTTGTATTTTTAGTAGATATGGGTTTTCGCCATGTTGGCCAGGTTCGTCTCAAACTCCTGACCTCAAGTGGTGCACCTGCCTTGCCTTCCAAAGTGCTGGAACTATAGGCGTGAGCCACCACACCCAGCTGAAACTTTTTTTTAAAGAAACAGACTATAATCTTTGGGATCTAGGGATGTCCAACATCATCAGCCATTAGGAAAATCACAGTGAGATATCTTAACTACACATTTATCAGAATGCTGCAATCAAAAGGATGACACCAAATGGTGGCGAGGATACAGAGAAACTTATACCATTCATACATTGCTGGTGGGGATGCGAAATGGCAAAGTCATCTGAAAAATAATTTGTTAGTTTCCTTAAGAATGTAACATGTAATTACCATAGGATCTAGCAATTGCATTCCTGTGCATTCATCCAAGATTAACACTTCTGTTTACACAAATCTGTATGCAAATGATTATAGCAGCTTTCTTTATAATATCCCCAAACTGAAAGCAACCTAAATGTCCTTCAACGGGTGAATGGTGAAACAAAATGTGTTACATCCATACTGTGCAGTACTGCTCAACAATAAAAATGCGCTAGTTATAGACGCAACCAGCTGGATACGTTTCTAGATCAATATGTTGGGTGAAAGAAGCCAATCTCAAAAGAGTTTATGGGCTATCTCTGTATTATTTCTTGTCACTGAAAGCAGCTCTAGAATTATTCCAAAATAAAAATGTCCAACTTAAAGCTTGGAAAATAACAGGCTCCCGTATGCTCACCACCAAAATTTTATAATCATTAATAGTTTTTTTTTTTCTTCTTCAGATCTCTCTTTTTTAAAGAAAATAAAACAACATATATATACTTAAAGCAGCACCCTTTCTTGATTTAGCCCATTTCTCTCCAGAACTGAGCACAGATTGAATTTCTCTGTGCATATTCTGATACTTCTCTTTCATAGGTATTATCCTAGCAACAAATAATACTGCTTTATGTACTTTTTCAAAGACGGCATAGATGTTTTCATATGGAGCCATACAGCATATATCATTTTACAACTCGCTTTTTCTCCTCAGCACTAAGTTCTGATATTTAACAATGTGAATGCATAAAGATCTAGGATTTTTGTTTTTACTTTGATTATTCTATAATAATAACAATAGTAAATTACATGTGATACTGTGTGCCACAGACTGTTCTAAATGCTTTACACATTAACCTTTTGATCGTCAGTAAGATAAATTCATCCTATGCTATTGTTCCTAGTTTACAGATGGGAAAAGTAAAGCACAGAGCAGTTTGGTAATTGTGCTTGGTTGTACTCTTCGTACATGGTAGGGCCTGGATTTGAACCTGAATGGTCTGCCCCAGCAATTGTGCCTTTATAGTGTAAATACCACTGCTGTGTATCTAGTGCACTATCAATGGGCACATAGATTGTTCATGTTTTGCTCTCCCCAGCTATGACTATCCTCTTTCTTGTCTCTTTGTGCTGTACACCTAATGAATCTCTTTAACATGTACACCAACAAATGGAACTGCTGGGTTGTAGTACATACTTAACCTCAATGGCTATTTGCACATTGCTCTATAATGTGAAGCAATTTCCGTCAGCAATGTATAAGAGTTCCTATTTCTCCATGTATTCACCAGCACTTGACACTGTCATACTTCACAAACTTTGCCATTTTGTAAAATGTGCATTTTCTTTATTACTAAAGATGCTGAGTGTCTTTTCGTGTGTTCACGGGCCTTTTGAATTTTCTCTTCTGTGAATTGCAAGTACATGTCTTTTGTGATTTGTTCGTCTATGAGTTCTTTTATCTTAGGATTTCATATATCATCTATTGGTGATATTTATTGAAAAAATATTATCCTGGTCTTTGGCTTGTCTTTTAACTTTGCTTGTGGTGTTTTATGTCATATTAAAAATTTTAATTTCAGTGTTGGCAAATCAACATTTATGTATATGTACTTTGCGTGTGTGTGCATATGCACGTATACGAATAATTTATACAGAAGAAATATACTTTTCAGGCTAAGGTTTTAAAAATTTGAAATCTGGAGTTTTCTATAGCTTTTTTTCTTCGTGGATTGCAAATATCCTAACATCATTTATTTTTTGAGCCCACCATTCACCGCACTGATTGGAATTCTACTCCAGTTGTAAACCCAGTTTCCTTCTTATCTGTCATTGTCCCATTCTTGCCAATGTTGTGATATTGGTTTATGATAAACTACAAAGTATTCAGTTTTCTCTTCTCTACTTATGGAGAAAGATAGTCTAATAACAAAATAGGATAAAACTTCTCAGCCTGTATCATAACATGCATTTTTACTTAAAGACATGTTTGGAATTTCTTTCCATGTGGTTGAGGACATCATTTTTAATGCTTGCAGAGTATTCCTTTAATTTAGAAATATCTTTTTTTTTTTTTTGAGATGGAGTCTTACTCTGTTGCCCAGGCTGGAGTGCAATGGTGCGATCTCGGCTCACCACAACCTCTACCTCCTGGGGTTCAAGTGATTCTCCTGCCTCAGCCTCCAGAGTAGTTGGAACTACAGGCTCGCACCACCATGCCTGGCTAATTCTTGTATTTTTAGCAGAGAGGGGTTTCACTATGTTGGTGAGGCTGATCTCGAACTTCCTCAGCCTCCCAAAATGCTGGGATTACAGGCGTGAGACATCACACCCAGCGAAATATCATAATTAACTTAACAATCTCCTAATGATGAGACTTCAGGGTGTTTCTAAAATTATAATACATATCATATATAAGCATATATATTTTTATCCATATTTATCAGTTTTTCGTAATTTATCTAGGGCAAATTGTGAAGAGTGGAACTTTGAGAGT